CATCTTTACATACCAGCTTTTACATACCAAATCTGAGACTTGTGCTGCTAGTCTGGAGTTTGTGCACACCACCAAACCCAGCATGCCCCAAGCTCAGTGAAGCAGGCTCTGCATCTCCCCTCTGACAAGAGGAGCTGCCCCCAGCTAAGCAGCCAAGAACCGTTCCAGCAAACTGGCTTCTATTTCCACTCTGCTGATAACATTCCTCTTTTAGGTTGTAGATTGTGGTGGGTATCTTTTCAAGCTTGAGGAACATCAGTGAGTACATACCATCTGAATCCTTCCTGAATGCTGTTTGGTGTCCAGCAGAGATACTGATGAGCCATGGTGATCACCTAAAGCAGACAGCTCCCAAAGAGAAGGGATGGATCTTGGCAGACTGCACTGCCTTACCTGCTTTATGTTCTTCGTAGCACACATTTTCCCAGTACGGCCTGTTACCTTTGTGCTGCAGGCTTTCAATCACCTTCCAAGTGCGTGTGTTGTCTGTGAATGTTATCTCCTTTTTCATTAGTTACCCAGTGGCCCTTGGTCAAATGGCTCTTCACTTCAGCTTCCTTTGTTACTGTGTGCAGTGTGCAGCCTTGCAGTCTTGCATAACTTCTGTTGACTTTTCAGCTGCAAATCATTGCCCACTGACTAACAGCAGTCAAGCTGCAGCATGCGGCTGCCTGCTTGGTTTTCTGTCATCACCAGAGCTCTCCTGATGTTGTCTCTGCATAGGAGGACTAATGCTAGTTTTGTGTATAGCCCTGCATGCTTCAGTGCTCAAATACACTGTGGGTATTTGCTCCCCACCAGTATCAGTATGTGACCCTGTCATGCTATGCTCCTCTTGATTCTGCTGAGTATAGATGGCCATCAAAATTTAGAAGGTTTTAAGCATTCTTCAAATTATGTACTTAACTTCCTTGCAGAGAGCTCAATTATTTTCACCCCTCAGTTGCCGGTTCTTGAATATCCACAGAGAACTTCTGCCTTGAGCTTTGAAGGAGCCAACTGATGGGATGGGTGGAAGTTTGACAACTAGTAGAACTGCACAAAAGAAAAAAGTCTAAAATTGGAAAATACAGAAGAACTGAGGAATCAAAAAATAAATAGTGTGCATTGGAAATTTATCCTGTCCTCATTTCCTGCAACACTGCTGGTACACATTTCCTATGGTTTCCTATGGTTTCACAAGGGGCTTTGTGCCAAGGATCAGCACTAGACTTGGGGTATCAAAAGGCTGACTCTGAGAGCCACTCACACACGTGATCTACAGGTCACAGCTGTAACCCAGCACAGATCTGTTGGTGGAAGGTTTTAGTGTGGATTTGACTGTAGCTT